TAAACAATCGAAGATAAACATCTTAATTGTTTTAGGGAGCTTACACATTGCGACTTCATGCAGCTATACAATCCCGCGTACCTACATAACAGTCGCGCGATGGCATGGCGACTAGGTACAGCGATCAACTCATGATGTAGGCGATTTTTCCATCGATTCAAACGCGCGTATGAATCGATGGAAACGCGCGGTTGTAGCGAAGCACACACACACGTTAGTATCGATTCACAGGGGTTAGAGAGGATCCTAAATCGCGTTTAAATCGACGCTGTATTGCGTATGTATCACAGCAACTACTGATTTGAAACCGCATCGCGATTAATCGCTGCTTTTAGTAACACTTGTGTGTAAAAGTAGATAGATGTATTGTAAAGTCATCGATGCTGAATCGCGACTGAAACGCGTTTGTATTGCTACAAAAATTCGCAATGTAAAAGGTTCCTTAATTTAAATCAACAAAACATTTATCCGACGTCTAAAATCGATGAGAAACACTCTCCCTTTTAGCGTCTGTCATTTGTTTTGATAAATTATACAATGCGTCGACGCAACTCACGCGTGAGAAACAAATAAATTCTCCAATTTTCATCGTCACATTACATTGATATGAATTACGTTCGTCGTCCATAACGACCAGTCAATGGAACCGGTGAGTAATTGCTATGAATTAATAAGGCGATAGCGTCTAGCCTACAGAATGTTGGCAAAAAGCGATAGAAGATGTTGTACGGTATGATCCATATTCACTTTGATTATATTATTATTTATTGCGGTGATATATGACGTGTGTTCAAAAAGCAGAAAAGTTATTGTACTAATAAGAATGGTATCATCTTAAGATGAATCCTATAATTTTTGTTTTCTGAAACTTAGCCTAATAATGTAAAGCAACAGGGATAAAGTTACGTTAGTAAGGATTCTTACATCAATATTTTAATAATTTTCTGTTTGTTAAAATTTCTTAGCATTTAGAGTCGCTTCTCAAACTTAATTATAAATAACTTGAACGACTGGTTCATCCAGTGTCTAAGTAGCTCACATGGAAGAGCAGTCGTCTGGCAAGCGAAAGGTCGTGGTTTCGATCCCGCTTTAGGTAGTTCGATTTTTTATAATTTTCTGTTTATACAAAATTTCCACCATCAATCTTAGATAACTGTCACCTTCCAAACAAGATAGAACCGACAGAATTTGAAAATTATAAATAACTTGAAAAAATTCTAATCGTGGGTTCAATTCCCGCCTTAGGCAATTCGATTTTTTCAAGTTATTTATAATTTTTAAATTAGTTTGAGATGCGACTCTTAACGCTAAAAATTTAACAGACAGAATGTTCTAATAGATTTTCCCAAGCAAATTCGATCATGAAAAGGCATTTCTCTACCATAAATAACATCAGATGTGACAAGTGTGACGTTTGGAAAGTCTATCACCATCAACTAATTGCCATTATGGTAGGTAATACGGCGATTTAAAAATCGCTTTAATATTAGAAAATTCGATTCGTCTCGATTCGATTGGGAAAGTTCTCGGCTCTCGTTACTGATCGATATAGTTATGATGGTTGTCTGTATCCATAAAAACTTTTGTTTTTGTGGAAAAGTTTTACTTTTCAACACTCTCACTGTTAAGTACGGTTCAAGCTCAGTTTTCAATGTTTACTTTTGTACTTTTCGTTTGTAGCTACTGTGCACTCTAAGTTTATTATAGTAAAACCAAAGAAAATGTCTTGTTAAAAACAATTTCGAACTTGATTCTAAGGCTTTCCTACTCTAGTAGTCTACTAACCACTTTTTTCCATTGATCGAATGTGATTAACGTGCAAACAAATATACATATCTACATATTAGCTTGCGCTCTAAACAATCACTAAATCTAATTAAAACTCCAACAGTTCAAGTCTGAAGTGTCCTCAATTTATTCTTAGTTGTCTCACCTGGTATTGTAAATTGAACGCAACTTCTTGCCACCACCACTTTCCTTAACACTTCGCTGGCTGTCCGTGTCACGACATCACGGCATCACGGCAAGGCGGCAAGTGTTCGTGATGAATCGGCTAATTTTAAGCCCTGGGTGGTCTGGTTATAAGCACGAGTTGACACCAGGTGTAATGAAGTCGTGGAACGCTTAGTCTGCCCAAAATGTATAGTTGCTTCTTTCCAAGAGAAGGCAATTTTATTTTTCTAAGATTACATGGATGATATTATAGTACCGAATCTTATGAGACTTGAGACCTAAATCTGCTCACCTTTTATAAAAAACGCATTGTAATTCCGTCGTAAGGGACTTATCTATATCCATAAAAGCGAAAGGTCACTGATTGACTGGCTTACCTACTCATCACGAAATCTCAGAAACTACAAGTACTAGGAGTCTCAAATTTTGCATGGGAGTTCCTTTTAGAATGTAGGTGCTCACTAAGAACGGATTCTACGAATCTCCACCCCTAAGGGGGTAAAACGGGATCCACGCGTACGAAGTCGCGGGCGGCCGCTAGTCAATAATATATGGACGACAGCACTCAGACTATACATTTTTGTTACAAAATAAAACCTATTACAACTACATTAGAACCCACAGTGTTTAGCTTGACATGCTGTGGTCTGTACTTTTTATACTAGACCAAAAAATATTCAAAGACCTGTCAATGAAACCTCAAAAAACTCAACTGTCTTCAAAAGTTGACCCTATTAACCTTACAATAGAGCTCCGGATACTGACAGCAATTCAGTTTTTGCTGACCCTTTAAGATTTGTATTAAAAAGAGTAAGTCGACCATTCAAAACACCATTACAATAAACTGTTACATGAACTTATAGCGTTAAATTCCATGGATCAGGGCATAACTAGAAAAAGTGTCTCAATCATTGGCGTTGGCCAATTCAATGAAAACCGTAGCAAATTATATTTTCCACATTACAGCCTCTATAGCGAAACGCAAAAAATTTGGACACGTGGTCATAGGGCAAATTTAAAAGCTAGCCAAGTGAAAATATCATAGATTAAGAAAGACAAAGTGTCAAGATTTCGAGTTAATTCAGGTTACTTCGAAAAACATGTAAAACAATGTCAATGTTATTATAAATTGTATGTCCTGCAGGTTATTCAATCCATACCTACTCGTATAAGAATATTAATAATTGCATTAACCTCCTGGGGCCCGGGAATTTTTTTTATCGTGAATTCATATGAAAACTATCCAAATCGTGTTAATAATTGATATAATTATCTTAAAAAATAAAATAAAAAAAATAATCTGGAAAACGGCAATTTTCTCAATGTCATATATTTACGACATCGGTTCCCAATGTCAACGATTTTTTTGTTTCATGTACAGGATTTCCCGTAATAAATAGCACAAAATTAATTCCTAGTTAAGTTTCTTGACTACCTATAACGAATTTAAATCGATTTTTGAAATATATTGAGTTTCCAAAATTTTTTTTGGTTTATTTTTATTATTTTTTTCTGCCTGTACTTAGTTTTTTCTATGCAGTGGATGCAAATATTGATATTTTTTAAGTATTTTTTCGTTACAATGTAGCTAGATAGATTCTTTATCAAGTTTTATGTCGTTTTTGGGCAATAACATTGCATCTCTATTTTTTTTTTAAATAGTATTTAAAATTTTTATTGCATTTCATTTGGATGACTCAAATTAAAAAATCCTCTTGATAAAAAAATGCATCACACCGAAGTGTATTTAATATTAAGTGATGTAGGTAAGGCCAATAGCAATAATAAAAAATAAAAAAACAATTTGATTAAGTGCCTAATGAAATTATTTTAATTTTATAAAAAAAATCAAAGTGACTTGAGGTGTTGATAATACTTTTGGGCCGACTTTAGCAGTAAAATCGAGTTTTATGTGTTCTAATATGTTATATTCGCATATATCTACTTAAACAAATAAGAAAATAATATCAGATTGTATGCTATTTAATAGAAAATGTATAATGTCATACAGGTATTACACAGGGCTCTGTCAGTTTACACTAGTAATTGGGACCTCATGTAATACCTGTATGACATTCAGATTTCACCATGGTTTTCGTAGTTTTCATACGTATTTCCACAATCAGTGATACTCAGATAATAAAACAGTTCAAATCCCAAAACGAATAATAACAAAGGCTTATAGAAATCGTTCATAGTTTAGTAAAAATCTCATTATTACTAACCACTTGTTCCCGGTCGCGGCGCCGTCGCTATTTCAATTAAAGATAAAAAAATATAAATGTCACTTCACTGGCCAATCACAGCTAAGAATGATGGACAGATGCATCATCTAACTAACTAACGTAAAAGTTCTGATAAACTTCAACAGATAGCGTTGATTTATATTTTTTTGTTTTATGTAATAAATATATGACGCCAGGCCCCAGGAGGTTATTAAAGATCATAAAGTAAAAGTTGATGAAATTGTGTCAGTTCATGATCCAAATGTTGCTCTAAATGTGTGCTGTTTTTATTCAGCTGTGGTTTTATTAAAACATCAACTACATGATCAATTCTGAACTCTATCACAAGTGAATAAGGAAACTGCTATAAATCACGAATCTAAACATTAGCATGTATTTGTTGATACATTAGGTATTAGGTAACCGTTGCATTAGACTTGTAAAAAGTCAAATTGCTATTGGGAGTTCAGGATGCGAAGTGATAATGTGGTTGCACTGGGATTGTGAAATGCAAATACTGGCATTTTACCGGCTTCGTCTATAATTCAGTAGTTCAAGTGAAATTGTGTCCTACATATTTGAGGAAGTGTTACAACATCAGTAATGGGACTTGAATTATTATTATTATTTATTATTATTATTTATGAAAAGTAATTTTATATCAATATCAATCAAGTCTTGTTTATTACATGTGTAATAATGAACCAATTTCAATGCGCAAGAACTGGTCTACACTCAATTACTTCCCCGAACGATGAAGGATATACTTGACCTTTTATTTCGAAATGCGATCTCGTTAACCTATAATTATTTTCTTTACAGGTGCAAGCAGCCAGCTGACCGGCCCAGTGCTCGACCGGAAACATTATGCCATATACAACAACTATCTAAGCGGACCTGACTCGCATCGCAAGTGGGAACACCGTTAATTATGCCAGGTCACTAGCGCAATGATGGAAGAAGTGACGTCTAGACCTAGCGTGGAGTACATCCCTCCACTGCCCCCCAAGCAACGCGGATCGACGACCTTCACACAGATCAACAACGAAGAAAACGAGTTACGCGCCAATATGGACTCGCTAAGTTCGATGCACTCTCTCGTCCTTAATTCTAAGAGTCCATCTGCAACGGTATTCATAGCGGCTACACAGCCAGAACGACCCGCGAACACAGCCGGCGCGGACGCCCCTAATGGACCACACGTCGTCACCATCCGAATCAACACCGAAGAAAAACCCAAAGCACCCAAAATCTCCAGCGTACACCTCAAAAGCGACATCGACTTCGACACCTTCAAAATCAACGAACGAAAAAACAACAGCTTAGTCAGAATCAACGTCGAGGAATCCCGGCCGAAAATCGTCGAGCACGACGACAAAAGCGATAAAGCACCTTACATCTACTGCAACTCGTTTGTTAATTCAATGACTAATATGGTCATGTCGAGTGGGCAGTGCTCGCCGAGCGACACGCTAGACTCGGGAACGTGCAGCGACCTTGACGGCACGCCGCCGCCGCTTCCTAAGAAGAAAACGCTCAAGTCGACCTCCAAAAAAATCTCAGTCACTGTTATCGGTTCACGAAATGGGAGCAGTCAGAGCGAATTAGACTTTGAAGACAACGATTCCAACATATCGTGTGATTCGCTCAACAGCAGCGAACTGAACGGAAGCGTGCACGCCGATGAAAGTCATAGCGAGTATACGGGTAAAAACGAAAAGAAACAGAGTTGCGAGCCACCTGCAGCGCCGGAGATGCCCACGTTCGTCGCAAAAGCGAACAATAACGACGGCTTTCTACCGCAAGGTCTCCTGCAAGACATTAGAGACCGTTCAGCGAAACTCAATACGGTCGAAACTAGCGAACCCGAGCGGCCCGTCGAAGCGAACCAGAATATTAATGAAAATGCTAATATATCAAAAGAAAGCGCGCAACTCACTTCGTTCCGGCTAGTCTCGCAATTGAACGGCGATATGAAAAAAGACGAAGGCAGGGAATCCCCGAATTCGTGCAAAGCGCCTCTGATCACCGAAAGTACGTACGAGGAGAGACAGAAGCAGGATAAATTGAAGCAGGAGAAAATGTGTTACAGTAGCCATTACTTCGACACGGACAAGTATTACGACTTTCATTTGAACGAGAAACAGTTCGATGATGTTAAGTCAGTGAGTGTTAGTGTGAGTGCAAAAAGTGATGACAATGAAATGGAATATTTTGCGGGTATCAAGGATTACAAGAACGAGGAGGCGCCATCTACGATCCGGAGTTCGAAGGGAACGATACGCGGCGTGAAGAACCGCGTGCGAGCTGGGATAGCAACGTTTCTGCAGATGCAGAGCACGACAAAGGTAATTTTGTTTTATTTTTTAATTTTGCCGGCCAGTTTCTGTGTCAGCTCGTTACACACGCACTGATTTTAGAGGTCGCTTTATTCGAAAGTGTATCGCGGCACGTACAGTCTGGTTTTAATAAGATTGTTATTATAACGGCAATGTGTGACGTCGATGGTGGTGTAGGACCTTCACGGTGGGTTGGCTGTAACAATACCTTAAGAACAGGTGCCGAAGTACCGTCTGTTAACAATCGACAAGTATTTAATTACATTCAGAATTATGAACGGATGCCGTAAGAGATTCGGTCTGTAAAACAATGCCGATTGTCATTCTAATAGGATATTGTCCATTACAAAGTAACTGGAAACGTGTGTTTATATAATTTTTTGTAGACAAGTGTCAATTGGTAAGTTAGACGAGTGACGTCACTGTTTACCACTTTAAACGAGTTAAAACGATGGCTAATTTCGAAACTAATCATAGGTACAGTTCTTATCCTCATGATTAATAAAAGTTACAAAAGATAGTAAACAAACATACATATGGAGAAAATATTTTGTTGCAAAATAAGTATTACTCGTTAGGTAAAAAGTAGGTTAGTTATAATAAGTATTTAAAGAATGTCTCTTAAAGATGATTAAAATTAAGAGAATGCTTAGTATTTGGCACAATTACTTAATTAAGATAGACAAACCGTGACACTGGCTTAATTAATCTATTGCATAAACAAAAACTAAACATCTCTTTTAAGATAATTAGGTTCTAGTCAATTATATCCTTCCGCTTTTCTAACAATTACAGTATTTCCTAAAGTGTTTGTAAAAGCGGAAGCTTCCATTCAATAAGACGATGGAAAATCGTTGGGAAAAACTCCCGCATCACACTACCTATGCATTGTTGGATACTGGAAATCTAGAGGCACTTGTCATCGATTTCCTCGCTATTCGATATTTCACTTTTTTGTAAACGATTATTCGAATACTTTTACTGCGATCTAATTGGTAATGAATGACATTAATTTTATGATTGACTCAGTTCTCAGGGTTTCTCGTCTTTTGACGTTTTTTTGAACAAAATATGGTAGTCTTTTAATGTATCGATTGAGGGGTTATAGAAAAATAACAATTCAATAACACAGCAAAACGTGATTGTTTCTAGGTCATACTGGTGTTTGGTCTTGATCACCAATAATTGCTTCCACAATACATTATGCTAGCTTAGCTATTGATTTTGTTGAACTTGATGAATACACAAATTTTATATGCACAATTTGAAATCTACATCATAAGACACCTGTCTAGCTTGGCGCCACCAATTCTATCTAAGTAGGCACTTTAACTATGGTTGCGAATTTAAATTCTATAAATGACAAATTATTGTTCCTGTGTAGTATTCTGGAGGCTAATTCCATAACTAGAAAAGTTTCTAAGGCTGGGTTGCAACTTGCACCATCTTATTTTAACTTTGACAAGCGTCAAAAATCTCTCAAACTCCATACTAAAAGCACAGGTTATCGGTAAAGTTACGGTCAAAGTTATGTGGTGAAACTCAGCCTAATTATTTTGACTTAGGTATAATTATCTCTAATAGTGCTATAAAATCATTTCTAAAACTCTATATTATCATATTGGTTTAACTAAAGATCACCTAAAAATATCTAAATCCATAGCTAAGAATGCACCAGTAAATACGATTCCGTAATACTTAGTATTATTTTCACTGCTAAATGCTTCACAATTGTGCTAGCTTACTCTCATCTAATAATACTGATTAGCAGAAGTATAGGAAAAACTTAAAAATGCAAGTTATTTACGGCGATAGTATCGAAGAATAGTCCATGAGCCGTGAAGAAATGCAAGCGTCACGCTTTGGCTGCGCGTGAGTTGAGATGAGGCGACGATGCATAGACTAGAGACAGATTTAAAGAAAATTGAACCGTATTTCCTAGACATAAGGTGTAAAGTTCATTGGCACGGTTGAATTGAGGCGCGAGAATAGACTATAGCTGCTGTCACACAGCTTCAAAGGAATTTGAACCTCATGTGGTTGGAATAAGGTGTAAAGTTCATTGACACGGTTGAGTTGAAGAGCGAATATGGACGAGTCGAGCAGCATCAAAGAAAATTGAACTGCATGCCGTGTACATAACTTGTAAATTTCATTGGCGCGGTTGAGATGAGGCGACTAAGCATAGACTAGAGACAGCTTCAAAGAAATTTGAACCTTATTTCGTGGACATAAAGTGTAAAGTTCATTAGCACGGTTGAGTTGAGGCGCGAGCATAGACTATGGCTGCTGTCACACAGCTTCAAAGGAATTTGAACTTTATGTGGTTGGCATAAGGTGTAAAGTTCATTGACACGGTTGAGTTGAAGAGCGAGTATGGACGAGTCGAGCAGCATCAAAGAAATTTGAATTGCATGCCGTGGACATAAGTTGTAAATTTCATTGGCGCGGTTGAAATGAGACGACGAAGCGTAGACTAGAGACAGCTTCAAAGAAATTTGAACCGCATGTCGTTAGCATACGGGGAATAATTCACTGGCGCGCGGGTGAGATGAGGCGACCGAAGCATAGACCAGAGCTTCAAAGGAATTTAAGCCGCATACGGTAAACATTATGGTTCAAATTTCATTGACGCAGTTCGTATTACCTGGCAAATCATTAATGAGACATCTCGGGACACGCGCACCCTTTTAACTAAATTGGCATTATTAATATAAAAATAAACAAACTTGTTTTCAACTTCATTTAAATTTGATATTTAAATTATTCACTTGACAACGTGACAGCATGCTATTTTAATACCGGAATAATTTAGGTATACTCGTAAATGTTAACAATTTTCCATCTGCAAATAAATTATTCTTATTTTGAGTCATTAATGTGCAATGATGACAGTAATAAAAAATATTATATGGAAATATTAATAACTAAATGTCAATTAGTTCCAAATAAAAATTCACTGTAGCGTAAACATCGAACACGATTTTAACTATAATTTTAACAAACAAAAGAACGTTGTTGTAACGAATTTTTTGCCTATACTTTACGCCTGCCAAACTGTACAGAGAAAAAGCAATAGGTAAATAAAAATTCTTTCTAAAATTAAACAGGTTCCGTGACTTAATAAAAAATCAGTATTTTCAGATGCGTTTGTAACTTTGTAATTGTATCCATTTTAAATAACCAGTTAGCACGGAAGTAACTAGGAAGTCAATATGTATAATCTTGCATAGTTATCACTATTGATGTATGCAGCTATGTTGATTTTTATTCAACTTATTTCATTCATTGATGCAGATAATCGTACGAAGTATGCGACAATTTGTTAATTGTTATTGCTTATAGAATCAATTAAAACCTGTTTAGAGTCTGTGGCGACGTTCTGTGGTTAAGCTAGGTAACTAATTTAGCTGTAAAGGTCAACATGCCAACCTACCATTGCATTCCAACCTACCTATCAAATTAGGCATAATTTGAGTTCACTGAAAAGGTTTTCAATAAATAATTTCCAAAAAAAAGTGCAGCTTTGAAACCAAACATTGTTTTCCTATTTAAAGAAAAAGCCTAAATTGTTTTACAAGTAATTTTTGATGTTTTTTCCTTATAAAATATATTGCAAGAACCTAGGAACAAAAAAAACTTAAGCAATTTAAAAATACCGAGTCCATTGCTCACTTGAAAACTTTCAAAAAACGCCCTTGACTTTTGGGAACGTTGCACTCTCGGATACTTATAAATAATATTTACATACTATAAGTAACGTTACTTCACAATATCGCCTACGATATTATTATGTATGTAAATGGTACAGTAACTAGTAGAGGCCATTAAAATAATTACGTAAATGTCCTTTATTACAGTCAAAAAACTATAAATGAATTTAACGTTGTGTTAGCTAATATAAATGTTTTGTCATTCTTTGTCATATTTTGCTTTCACTAAGATGAAAAGGGATAAAACATTGATATAACTTTTAAAGGTTTTATAATTAAATGATCAAACGAACTTACCAAGTGAAGTTCGATCTAAATTATCCTGTTTTCGCCGAAGAGATTTAATTTACCATGTAGTACCCCTGTACGACAACCCAATCCGCACACAATATTCAGCGCAGTAGTAGTAAAANCGGAGGCGAAAGCAGGATAATAAAACAGTGTTATTATAATGGTTTTACAATAAAACAATACAGGCAGTAAAACATTTTAACTGTTTAAGATACGAAACTAAAGACCCAGTGCTAGTGAAAGTACCAGGAAAATACCTAAATTGGTAATAAGTTCAGAACTATCTCAATCTCATATTACTCAATATCCCCTTTAAATTATTAATTTACCATAATTATCTTATTTAGCGACCACCAACTTAGTTCCCGATACAATTTAATGGGCTCTCTCGTCCGGACTGACTCGTTTTTCGTAAGCTAATCTTATAATTACAGCATAATATACAGGGTGTGTGTATCAAGTAGGAAATTTCATTAAATAGTTAAAAAGAATAAGATTCTGAGTGAAGGTCAGTGAATATTTTCCTGGGAAACACGACGCTTACTTATTTTTAAGAAAAAACAACAATAAAACTTAAAAATATCTTGTATCAAAATAGGTATCATTTATTTATTAAGTAGTCTATAAAAGTACTATTATGAACCTTGAGAAAACTCGATATTTTTTTGAGGAAGAAAGAAACACAACAAACGCGCCCTATTGCCCGGTCACACTCTGTATTTATAGTTAGGTACACTTTCGTTAAAGATTGTATACTTTTTCCGCAATTGTAAGCAGAAGTTGTATAGAGAAACTAATTTATATTGTATTCTTCCTTCCACTTCATTTTATTAAAGTGTTTTTATTTTTACAAAAATGATTATCAAATTAATAAAGTTACTAGAAAATAACAGTAAGAAAAATGTCAGTACGAGTATACAAAGTCCAAATGGCATGTCAAGCAAACACTGCGGAACTTGGTAAAGTCAAAATCAAAAATCTTAATTAATTAGTTCCTACAACTCA